GGGATTGTGCAGCCTCAGCCAATTCCCTGGTGAACTCCTGGTCAAGGTCTTGACTCTGGGTCGGGGGTCTGTAGTAGACCCCCACAATAGTATCTCCTGCACTGTGTTCCCCATGGATTTTAACCCAGAGGGTCTCAAGTCGTCCACCATGGGTGCCAATGTCGGCTTGCAGGGACGCGTAGCTTTCCTTGACGTAGAGAGCTACTCCCCCACCCCTTTTGTCCACTCGATCCCTCTATACCCGTGGTCCAGTCATGGGTTGAGTCCCGCCAGGTCTCTGTTATTCCAATGACATCATAATTATTTGCATTTAGGAAGAGAACAAGTTCCTCCTGTTTTTTCCCCAGGCTCCTGGCATTTGTGTATAGACACGCAAGTGTCCCCTTAGGGGCTCTTGCCTTGCTTACATTTTGTCCCAGGGCTGGGGCTGGGGTGGGATCCCTTATGTGCCTTGGCCTGCTGGCTTTGCAAGGGTCACTTGGTGGGCCAGCAGTGGCAGTAGTCCCTGGCAGGCTTAGTTTAAAGCCCGGTGGAGCAGGTCAGCCAGTTTAGCTGAGAAGAGCCTCCTCCCCAACGGAGAGAGGTAGAGGCCATCTCTTCCCAGAAGCTCGCTGCCTCTCTCGCCAAAGAGCAGGCTGTGGTCATGGAAGCCAAAGCCTTCCCAATGACACCAACGCCGCAGTCTTTGGTTGACCACGTGGATCCTCCTCTCCCTCCTCAGCCCATAGCCCGAGACTGGGAGGATCAACAAGAACACCCCTGTGCCCCCAGACCCTTTAGCCCCACTCCCAAATCCCTGAAACGCCTCATGACCAGGCTGGGAGCACTCTGAGCCATGTCATTGGTGCCCACATGGATGAGGAGCATGGATAATGGTCTGTGGGCTGGAGGAGTTTAGGGATCTTCTTCACAATGTCCCGGATGCGGGCCCCCAGGAAGCAGCAGACTTCCCGGGCTAAGGGGTCGGGGCGGCAGATTGCCCCCTCAGTCCCCCTCAGGATGGAGTCTCCCATGGCAAACACTTTGCGTTTGGTCTTGGGGAGGGTGGGGACGATAGCTACAGTGTCCTCTGTGTTGCCTGCGGGAGCTGGCAACTCCGCAGGCTCTGCCGGGGCTGCAAGAGGCTCATACTTGTTGCAAAGCTCCAGCGGGGCAGGGGCCTTGGTGTGGCGGGCCCTGGGACTGGACAGAAGGGGAGGTCCCCGAGTCCTCCCTTGCCCTGGAGGGAGACCTTGGTCTACCCTCTGCCTCCCGGGGGAGAAGGGCCTGGCAGTAGGAGTCATGCCGCTGGTGGGCTGGCTACAGCTGGGACTGTCTGCCCTGGGGGACTCACAGGCAGGGCCTTGGGCCCTCCCGCTAGCCCTCCTGCGTGAACTCCCGCGCCTGTTCACTAGGCTCTGGTCGCGCGGCTCCCTGGGGGCTGGGCGAAGTAGAAGCCGGGGGGGGGTGTGACCCTCCTCGGTCCACTTAGCCTGCTCCCAGCTGTCTAGATCCCTCCCTCCTCGGGCTCTGGCTTAGCTGCCAGCAGGCCGGGGCTTGTCGAGAGTCCTGGGGTCGCTGCTGGGGTCCCTGGGCTCACGGGGGCGCAGCGGGCTTACACCCGCTCTTGTTTCTTTTGATGGTCCTTGGCTTTAGTCAAGCTGTGTGGTTGGGCTGGCTGTAGCTATTAATCAATATGGCTCCTTTTGGAGTTTTTCCTGCAGTTTTATTTCATCAGGCCATATAATCCAGCCCAGAAGTTTTGGGGCATGTGCATGCTGTCTAGAGCCGCAGTCACGCCCCACACACACATTCAGCCTCTCCGTGGCAGCAAAGATTGGCACACTACCGGTCCTCCAAGAACAACGAGGGGGCCCCTTGCACCGCCGAAGGACCCACGCTCTCTAGCAGCTTCCCCTGACTCAGCACAACCTATAAACTGTCTTATAATTAGTCGTGTTTTACATTGTGTTTGGTGTTTTCCTCTGTTTTCTGTAATAAATCTGTCTTATGTGTTGACACTGTTTGCGAGGACAGGGTTTTTTTTATTTATGCAGGACACCCTAGTTATTCATTTAGTGTTTCTCAGGTGGTTTGCGTGGGGACTTGAGCCAAGGTAAAATATATTTAGATGCCAAAATTGAACCTGGGCCTTGTTGCTGCCTGGCAGAAGGGTTACACGAGCAATGACTTGGGGAAACCTGCTCTCAACATCTCTGGCCTTCCCCAGACCTTGCACTTTGAGAGATGAGCTTAGATCTCAACTCTCCTAAGTCCCCCAGGGACAGTGACCGAGGGCTCAGGCCATAAAGCCAAGCTACTCTTACCAACCATGACACACTCTCTCTGCCAAATGGGAGCTGCTCACCTGCATGCATGGGCTGCTGAATCAAGGCCTTGGACAGGAAAACAAGAAACCTGGATTCAATTAAACATAATAAGTGATGTCAGCAAAACATGGTTTCACTGGCATTTGGGCAGAGCAACAGAACAAACACCCACTGTTTGCAAAAAGTGTGTGAGATCTTGGTGACCACGGGTGGTCAGGACCTCAGTGTAACATCCCACTTGACAAGTAGTCACTCCAGTAGCACAGCATGGTTTTTTGGTATGTGTGGATCCATTTAACGCTTAGACTGATTTAAATGAGATTTTAAAGCTGGAACAGACAGACACACAAGCCTGTTAAACTGATTTACTGGTGCCTGGGATGATTCAAAAGTATACCTGGGAAATCGGGTGCTCTTTTGAACCAATTCACAATGCAGTGGGTCACTGTTATGTGTGGATACCATGTGTTTCCTGGCTCAAGTCTGGTTGGTCCTCCAGATATCCCACGCTGCATTGCTTCTCACTCCCTGCTGCCGCAACTGGAAACTCTGGTACATGGCCAGAACTCTACTGCTCCCATTTCCCCCCTTTTTTGGCACTTTTTATCAATGAGCTCCCTTGCACTGCTTGGTTAATAAAAGCTATCTAAGAACCGGCTGTGTCCTCACTGCCAACTCAACTGCGCCCCTCATCGTGCCTCCCAACCCCTGGTAATCTACAAGCATGGGGGCAAGCTCTCTCCCCACCCTGCACACTGCAGGGGCTGGGCAAGCACAGGCTACTTAACTTTACTGAACTCATCTTCAGGAGAAAGGAAAGCAGAAAAGTCAACTCGCCACCAACCAGCCACTGGTCACCCACTTGCTAGAGCCCCCAAAGCATGGGTGCAAGAACCCCCCATCATAACTGCAAGGCATAGTGGGTTGGGTGCTCAATTCCCCCCTGCCCCGCTCTGGTGTTAGCCATCACAGTGTTTCACATACAATTGTAAACGGGTTCCCCATCAGTGACATTTGGGAATGGTTCACGTGTTACGTGTTTCTGCCCTCTCTACTCCCATAGTGGGGCCCTGGACCAGAAATGAGTCAAAGAGAAGAGCACTATAGATGTTCTTCCACATCATCTCTCAAACTCTCAGTTTGTTTGCTTCCTGTATTTCTAGACTCCCTCTAAATGTTTTTCCGTCCTGCAATATCTCTCAGTTTAGTATCATCTTCACATTGAGCTAGTGTGCATTCCCCCTTCCAGATCATTAACAATACTCCTCAAACTGTATCTAAGATTGATCCTCATGATACCCCCTGTCTGGCATCTTGCTGTTCATAATCACTTCTACTTATGACTTGTACTTCACATCCAGGCTAACTCAAATTCATTTTTGCAGTAAAGTTTTGTGAGTCACCATATCAAACGTGCGGGTGTGTGACAAACTCTGTGTTTTCTCCATCCACTAATTTTGTAAATTGAGGTAAAAATGCCCCCCCTTGGTCTCTCATACAATTTGTTCTTTACCATCTCTTACGGCATAACGCTCATGATTCCAGTACCCTCTCAGTACTTACAGATGTATTTATTTTTCCCATTATTTTCTGTAAGAACAAAGTTAGATTTATGGGACAGCACTCCCCAAGATCATTCTTTGTTTCATTCTCTATCTCATCCCCAATTTCTCTGGACTCTACTCAGTTCTTCATGACTTACAAAAGAATTGCTATTGATTTCATAATTCTCGCTGAAATCTGGGATATGTCATCTGGTCCTCCTGATTTTTATCTGTTATATCAGAGGTGCTACGTTCAAGATCCATGTCCGGGGGGGTGGCAGCAGTGGCAAGGGCTGGGTTATCAGTGATGATGGCTCCTCAGCAGCGGTGGTGGCTGCTGGTTACGGGTCCCCTCTAAGTAGGTGCCTTGGGTTGGTGCCCTGGTCACCCACTACTTGTCCACTACTTGTTATACCATTGCATATTTTTCCTGGTGTTCCTCTACCTGTTTTGTATCGCAGCTACATCCAAAAGAGCTTCGTTAGTCCTTCATGGTACATATTCCATTTTTTTTATGGGCATCTTCATTGTTGGATTGAACATAGAGATGCCTCAGGAGGGAGGGAGGCTGAGTGCCACCAGGGACTTGGGTATAATGACTTGCTTTGCAATATCATCACTGTGTGACCGCAGACATGTCATCCTGCCTCTTTGTGCCTCACCTCCCCAACCTGTATAATGGGGATCACAATGCTTCCCTTCCTCACAGGGAGGCTGTGATAATAAATGCACTGAAAGGTAGTGAGTGCCTTGCTTTGTGAGAGTGGAGCTACCTAGCTCACATGGAGGCAGCTACCTAGCTTCTAGCTGGGGGGTTGCAACTAAGTGCTTCTGCCCAGCACTGTCGAGTATGGTAAGGAAACAGTATAGACCTGCCGAGTCAGGCACAAACCTACTAAGGGGAGGCCCTCAGATAGACGTACTTGCTTTAGTGTCTCTCCTGCTGATAGCTTCCTAAATGCCCTTAGTCCTGATAACCTCTTAGTAGTATTCATGACAGGCAGCACAGCAGAAGCAGGTGTTTAGGGGAGATTTAAGCAGACATGAGATCTGGGCTTTGTGAGGATGCTCAGGAAGGCTGCACCATGTGTGCAGGGCTGGCTGGAAGACCTGGTGAGTCAAGGGAAGTTGGCCAACAGGTGCACAAGGCTGGGATTATAAATCTTTCCCACATCACATCCTAAACTCTCCACTTTTTCCATCATCCTGCACCAATACATTTTCTTTGGAAACTGTAGTTTTCCTCTAATTCCCCCCTGTTAGGTTTGTCCCAGGGCCCTCATAAAGAAATGACCCCAGCCACAAGCATGGGAAAAAGCGTCACCCAACTGACAGGCACAGACTACATTGCAAACTTAAAGTAAAACTGGATTGCATCGGCCTTTGCAGATTCAACAGAAAGTAACTTTAGATTCACACATGCAGATTCAATATATCTGCATATAGGACCAGCGGGAAGGAGCATACATGCCTATGCAGTGGGTGGAAATGTATAACTCTTCTTTTCCCTTTCAGCATTGCTTCCCTGGATTAGAATCCCTTTTCTGAGCGCTGGGACCACATGCATGTCCAGGGTAAGCCCTCACATCTCTAAGCAAAAATATGTCAAGGAGGCAGCACTGAAACTATTGCTCAGTTTTGTCTGGCTGTTGAAAATAGCAATACTGTGGTATCCACTGCCCCTGCCACTTCCTCGTTGGGAAAATGTAGTGATTTCACTGAGCTTATTCTGAAGGTAAGGATGACGGAGGTCTGCCTTGCACTAAACATTACCGCCCCCCCCCGGGACATTTTAGTTTGATTCTGTCTCCATGTCTTTATGTCTCTTCATGTTGTAGAGTCTCCTCACATATAGTGAGAAACAAAATGACTTTGCACACTGGCATGGCCAACACGGTCAACAAATGCTGCCTTGCTGGCCAGCAAAGAATATATTGTGGAAGCAAAGTAAAACTATAAATCAATTGCCAATAGCAGGTTCAATAATAAAAGTTCAGTGTTTGATTCTCATAAGCACATTCAATTATTTCATAGCGCTGACGTCTGTCAACTTCACACCACGTGCCCCCTGCGTGTCCTGAGCACACCCAATCTATGTCTTGACTTGGGCCAGGTTTATACCAATTTCATACGGCTCAATACCAGCTCACAGCTCGTTGAAGACCTCGCTGCCTTTGCCACCTGTTCAGCTTTGTTATTTTTTTTCCTTTCATGGCTCTGAGCAAGGAGTCATCTCCAGAATACGGTATCTTCTCATGGTGAGGCTGTTCTGGAGGTCCAGGTGCTCCACAATTCAGCCCTTATCTCTTTTGTGTTGAAATTTGAAGTCCAGAACAGGCAACTATAGGCCCGTCAGTCTTACCTCAATCCTGGGGAAACTCTTTGAGAAGATCATCAAGGAGCACATTTGTGATGGGCCGGCATCAGAAATGATGCTCAGGGGCAATCAGCATGGATTTATTAGGGGGAGATCATGTCAGACCAACCTGATTGCCTT